AATGAATGAATGTTTATTCCCCTTTCGGGCAATACATTGGCGCTTTTTTCAGGGAGCGTATCCCCAACCCTTTACAACCTTATTATCCCGTTCTCTCTCGCGACCTGGCCTTCTGCGACCCTTACATATTATGTACCTTCCCCCCATAAGTATTTTCCTCTTCCTCACTCTCCCACCCCCCAGTTCTATACCTATTCTATTCTTCTTTCCTCTGTCTCCTTCCTTATCCCTCCTCTCCAGTCTCCATTCTCTGCCTCTATTTCCTTTCTTCCCTTCTCCTTAACTCTCCTTCTTTTCCATTACTCCTCTCTTTCTCCTTTTTCTTTCCTATCCTTCTTGCCTTCTTCCCTGTAAACCATTTCATATTAATTTACTGTATCCTCTCCCATTCCTCTCCTCCTTCTTTCTCCTCTCCCACCCATTTCCATTCTCTCCCATCTATCCACATCCTCCTATTCTCCACCCTTACCCTTCTTCCCATAGCCCTCTCTTTCCCTGTCTTTTCTAACATTTTCCATCTTATTCTTCTCTCTTCCATACTCAGGTCCTCATCTACTCTTATCCCCCATCTCATTCTTATACTATCCATGTCTTATTTAATGTTTCTTCATTATCCTCCTCCTTTCTCGTTTCGACAATCATAACTACCCTCCCTTCCTCCCCTAATCTCTCTATTATTTCTTTTATTTCTGTGACCCTCTTTAACAATTTCTCTGTCACTTTCATCCTTCTCCGCCTTCTCTCTTCCCTGCCCTCTCCCTCTACCCCTCTCCAAATTAACCTTCTCCTCCTCTCTTCCTTCCACTCTCCCCTGTCTACCTCACCATCCCTCCTTCTATCTCTTCTCTCTTCTTCTACCTTTTTCCCTCCCTCCTCTTCCTCTTCTCCTCTGTCCTTCCTCTCTTCCCCTATTCCCTCTTTCACTCCTCCCTTCCTTACCAACTACCCTCCTCTCCCTCCTTTTTTACTTCTATCCTTTTCTTCTTCCCTTCCCTTTCTCCTTTCCCTCTTTCTTCTCTCTCCTCTATCCATTCCCTTATTTTCCTCAGTTCCTTTGCTATCTTTCTCAAGTGCCCCCCTATCTCCTCCCCCAACTCTCTCAACTCCTCTCTCCATTCCTCCATCTCCTCTCGTCTCCTTTTCTCCTCCTCTTCTCACTCCGTTTCCTCTTCTCCTCCTCTTCGCGTTTTCCTTCTCTTCTCCTCCTCCCTCTTCAGCTATACCTCTTCCTTCTCTCCCCTCCACTTTTCTCCTTCTTCCCTCCTCCGCTTCTGGTTTCCCTATGACTTCTCTCTCCTCTCTCTCTTCGTCTCCTTCCCCACTTCCTCCGTCCCTGCTTTCAACCTTTCTCTTCTTCCTTCTTTCCTTCCGCTCTTCTCTTCCTGTCTCTTCCTGTCCGCTCTTCTCTTTTCTCACCTCTTGCCACTCTCTTGCCTTCCGTCCCTTAACCCTTATGGAGAAAATAAAATTATTAGTTACAGATTGATAAAGCATGATGCAATTTAGAAAATGACGGATGCAAAATTGCAGCGACATCAAATGTAAAATTAGATTATAAAGTAGAACAGAGTAATAACTGTTAGATGATCTGTTGTTTTCTTTGTAAAACATAACGTCCGTGGTTAAGAACAAAGAGCAAAATGATTTTGTCATTACTAACACAGTCATTACTCTGTTCTACTTTATAATCTAACTTTTACAATTGACATCATTGCAATTTTGCATTCGTCATTTCCTAAATTTCGTCATGCGTTATCAGTCTGTAACTAATACTTTTATTTACTCCATAAATTTTGTATATACATTGAAAATGGTCTGATACCGAGACGTCTGGATTTCGAATTATTATAATACATTTATTTGATACGTACTTTCAGTCACAGCTTTGTGTGTCCTGTTATATATTTTTTTATTATTAAAGAAGTTATGTTTATAAAATAATCGTTAAAAAATCAAAATAAAATAAACTTTCTGTTGTTTTTAAACTATAGCTGTTCTGTAGATTTTGGTAAATCATGATTAATTACGAAAAACCATACGCCGTCGTGCGTTTCTTAGAAAGCGATACATTTTCTGAGGTTCCAAGTAATTGGTTATATGAGAAAAAAGATAAAATTTTATGTTGGTGGCCAATAAAAGTAAAAAATATCACGTCTTATATATCAAATCGCATATCACCGGATGAGACAGCGTGGGAATTGTGTGAAGTTGAAATAGAAACGTATTGCGGTAAAGTAACAAATCTTTTACTAACATAATAAAGAAATAGAAGAAGAAAATGCAATTATTGTGAAACTTAATTTTTACAGATACGTGGGAAAAAGCAAGAAAAGTAGCGGATAATCCCATGTATAAAACCACGGATGACGAAGATTGTGGGAAAGGTTGTCGAATGAAATTCGATAACACCAAGTATAGTTCTTCGCCAGAAACATTAATAACGAAAAAGGATAATACTAAAAATAATAAAACCAAGAAAAAGGATGATTATTTAAAACGTACGTATTTGTTATTTGTATTAAATTAAATATATTTTTTATTCAAAATTATTGCAATTTTTAATATAATTATAGCAATTATCAAAAGCTGCATTTCCCTTCCACCCACCATTTTACCTCTTTCTTTACCTTCAACTTCAAATGATGTGGCAGACAAAATTATTTTTGAAGGAAATGTGGATGTTTTTAACGATAGTAAACTAAGTAAGTTAAATCTAATAACATGTAATCGTGCAAATACCAACTAACAGTAAACTTATATAAAAGTTATAATTTCCCAGTAATGTAACATGTGTTATTTGTAATATTTACATTGTTGAGTAGGAAATTGTAATTGCATGTAAGTTTACTGTTACTTGGTGTTTACTGGAAAGTATTTTTTGTTTGAACTAATATATCGTTATTTTATTTTTATTTTTAATTTTTAATAAAATTTATTATTTTTATATAATAAATTCTTAAAATAAATATAAATATTAAGTTATCTCTATGTATACTAAATACTATTAATATTTTTATTACAGCATCGAATTCAATTCCTGTAACATATGATCCGGTTGATAAACCGGATCTCAATAAGGAAATATTACAGATAGTACAAGATATTGCTATCATTAAAGGTATTTTATTCTAATAAAAAATAAAGATAAATAAATTGTGTGTGTCGTGTGTGTGCGTGTGTCGTGTGTGTGCGTGTGTGTGCGTGTGGTGTGTGTGTGTGTGTGTGTGTGTGTGTGTGTGTGTGTGTGTGTGTGTGTGTGTGTGTGTGTGTGTGTGTGTGTGTGTGTGTGTGTGTGTGTGTGTGTGTGTGTACGTGCGTACGCGAGCGCGCGCGTATACGTGTACGTGTGTATGTGTGTGTAATTTTAATATTGTACTACTTATGTATTTAAATATTTTATTCATTTTTAAATTGGAAAATTAATCATTAACGTTTTTTTAAACTATATAATCTTGTATGATGTTATATGACACGTTAAACATTTTCATATAAGTGCCATTGAATTTTGTTAGAAAACAATAGTTGAGCATTACTATTTTGACAATAATTTTTCCTACCTTTGAGATATTTAATTTAAATTGATGAAATAAATTTTTATACAAGTTAATCGATCAGTTTGATATACATGTATTACACTTAAATTATTTTTGAAACTATAATTACAATAATTAAACCATGTTTATATTTGTAATTAACTGACTAATATTGTGTAATCAACCGTATTTTTAAGTGAAATTGACCTTATTAACTTGTTGTTATGTTTGGATTTTGTTATTTATGTTTTGGAAAAACTAAATTATTTGAAAAATATGATTTATGCCTGATTTCACCAATGTCGATTAAACTTTAACCTGAGTTTAGATTGTATTCAAACAAAAAGAAACTTAGACTTAATTGACAATGACGAATCAGGCGTTAATCAATTTTCTTGTATGTATGATATAACTTATCTCTTAAATCATATTATATATTTTAATTCTTTTTTACATTTTTTAGAGCAATATGGTTCAATAAGTCGTATGTATGCTTCGCTTCTTCTCACATGTAGAAGTATTGAGGAAAGATTACATAAAATGGAACGTAAACATGTAGTACCTCCTGAGGAAAAGCGTTATCAACTATTAAATCCGTTATTGCCATTAAAAGATCTTCAAAATATTGCTAATTTAGAAAATCTTATTACAACTAACGATTCAGCTCTTGCTCAGTATGTAAGCATATTTTTCATAATAATTGATTCATAAAAATAACAAATAATCTAACAATAATATTTTTTTCTTGTTTAGAGAAATTTTATTGCCGGTATTGGAGGGCATACAGCGAAAGACAATATTCATAGGATTTTAAAAAAAGTTTTCTCTGATGAGTGTGCTAAATTGTGTTCATGGAAAGGAAAAAAAAACAATTATGCTGTCTATAACTTACAAATAATTACAGAAATTAACGAAACCGTTACTTCGTCTTATGAAGTAAAAGAAATTGAGTTTGAAGATACTGCTGCGGAGTGGTTTCGTTTCGCAAAGCAACGAGCTGCAAGAAAGAATAAGGACCAACATAAAGATAAGAGCCAATGAAAAGAATAACAGGGTTTTCCAGCGCATTTATTAATATAACGATTTTTTGTTTTTGTGATAATTATGTAAACATCGGATTTTTTATGCAGAATACATTATTATTTTACATATGTATATGTTGCATACAAAATGCATATTGGTACATGTTGCAGTATAAATAAGATTTTTTTACAATTTTCTCTATAATAATTTTTTTAACAATAATTTCTGCATAAAATATCCGATACCTAATCATAATTTTTCATTTTTTATTTGTCTATTAATAATACAGAGGTTGAGTTTTTAGTTATATTGAGATATACTGTATTGTGACATTTAAGGCTCTTGCCTACTCACCACTACTATCCCAGATTGTGACGTCAGAAGCAAGAAAATATACAATAACAATTCTTGCAACGTTTATTACAATAAAAATGTTTTTCATTAAAACAG